CTCGGTCGATGCCGAAAGGCATCCACTGCAAACGTCTCGCAGTCGGGGAAGGGCATTACATAGATTGGGAGACACCAAGACCACGCCGACATGAAGAGGCTAACATCTGAGAGATCGTATGTCTGGTAGATCCAACAAAATAAGTCATCATCGACCATCCATTCCGTGGACAGGGGATGGAAGCGAGACAGACCATCCGCCAGAACGTTGGACACTCCCCAGACATGAACCACACAGAGCCAAACCCCGAGAATCCAGCAGATGAACCACATGAAGGGACCAACCCCAAAGAGCCAAGGACCAAACAGAACTCCCGCGGTTCAGGCAATGAATCACTGGAGAACAGTCTGAATGGAGGTGAATGATCGATCCTCGAGCGACCCGAACCCTCCGAAGCGCGAACCAGACTGCCACGAACTCCCGAATCGTGCTGTGAACCCGACAGAAGAACGGACCCCACCGTCCCTGGCCTGCCTCGTGAGCACTGGTCACAAAGCCCCAACCGAGAGATGACACGTCCGTGAACACATCGAGTGAGGGCTCGGGAAGGAGCCAACGCACCGAACTCCGAAAACCCCGAAGGGGAAGCCCGTGATGCAGCAACCGACACAAGGCCGCTGGAGGACAAACGCAACGATCGCGAGAGAGGCGGAAGGGACGTCCCCGAAGTAACCAAAACAGACAAAGTCAAATCTGACCAGGCGCGTACACTAGCACAGCGAAGTTCAGACTCCCACACAACCGATCGAGCAACTACCGAGTGACCCGGGATCCCCTCAGAAACAGCACACGGCGGTCCCGCAGCCACAGCAGCGCCTCTGGAGGGAGGTTATCTTGAGGTTATCTTGAGATGATTTCGAGGCTTTTAGTGTCCCCCGCGGCTCGGTCCTCGACCAGGCCTCCACCCCCAGGAAGCAGCCCGTGACAGCTGACTAGCACCCAGATACCTATTTTACTGCTAGGTAACAGGGGCATAGGGTGAAAAACTCTGCCCATTGTTTCTCGCCGGCACCTGGGATCGAAACCCGGGACCACAGGATCACAAGTCCAGCGTGCTGTCTGCTCGGCCGACCGGCTCCCTTCAAGATAGTGACAAGGAAGCGGTCTGAGAATCCCAAACAATACCCAGCCAGGTCCGAACCTGGGACGGAACAGATGGGACTTCCTCCAGTTCAATAGGAACCCGAACCTGGCGAGCTGGGAAAGAACTAAATCCCTGGCGAGCAGACAAGCTGACTGACTGGGAGCCCACACCAGCCAGTCGTTGAGGTAGGACAAAACCCGAATCCCAAGAAGACGCACACGGGTCACCACAACCTGGGTCAGATGCGTGAAAATGCGAGGTGCCAGATTCAAGCCAAAAGGTAGGCATCGAAAGTGGTAAGCGTGACGCCCCACAATGAAACCTAACCAGTCCCTGAACCCTGAATGAATAGGAACGTGCCAATAAGCGTCCTTGAGGTCCAGGGACACCATTCAGGCACCCGGCTCCAACAGAAGCCGGACCTGAGACAGAGTAGTCATCCGAAAGGAAGGGCAAGGAATCCAGGGGTTCAGACGGGACAAGTCCAGAATGAACCTCAGACCTGCACAGTTCCTTTTCGGCACTGGAAACAGACGGGAAACCCACCTGAGGGACGGAGTCGTTTCGACCATGCCCAAACGCACCCACTCCAAGATGACTTGATGAAGAGCAGGAGAAGAAACTTGTCGTGTTAGCCCCAAACCCCCCAAAGGAGGACGAGTCGCCCAACGCCACCACAGGCCGGATGACAACTGAAAAGACCTACAAATTGTGGGGCCAAGCATGGTCAAACAGAGCAAGCCTCCCCCCCATCGCCCCGTCAACACGGCGAACTGTGAAAGGGCCGACGCTCCTTACGAGAACCCAAATGTCGAACAGGGTGATCACTACGCCGACCAGATGACGCTGGCCCCAAAGGGAACAACGGCTCAGAAACTGGCACCAATGGCCCACCTCAACCAGCGGAACCTGGAACCCTGGCACGACCCCTCCGAAATTGCAGAGAACCACCGCCTCGGAGAATCAATAAGTCCGCCATAGGACAACAACTAGACGAAGCCGCTTGAAGAAACTGAGAGACCGCAGTCCCTGCAATTAGCAAAGTACAAAACAGAGATGAAAACCTAAAAGCCAGGGCCCAAGTGGATTCCAAAGAGAGGGCGAGCACAGCCTGACAGCACGCGAGGCGAGAAGCAAAAAACAGAGACACCACTTTCTTCAGGATGGGCGCAAAGAGCTTCAAAGATGCCGCCGACGTCCTAGCAGCTGAAGTCAGCGTCCCAGACGAAGACCCTTCACTCAACGCTCCCACATCCTCCTCAAGCCAAGCAGAAGAGAGCTCGAAAAGGAAAAACAAACATAAGAACGATGCCAAATGCCCACGGGCACGCAAATCCTCCGCAACCAACGAAGCTGAAAGAAAAGAAACCTGCACGTGAAGCTAAAAAAGGCCAACATCCCGAGAAAGCACGGGTGCGAACAAGCACGCATTAAGGTGCTCAAACTCGCCCCCCAGGTAAACCTACATAAAAGTAGAAGTTTCCTGCCAATTAAGCATGCGGGTCCGACAGAACCCATGCCATGCCATGCCCCAACGAAAAGATAGGGCAGTCTGCCAGCCAGGAAGACTCCAGAACCTCCAAACGCACCCAAAAACGGGAAGAACCACCGAACTCAAATGAGGACGGATCCATCGCAGAGGCATAACCCGGGTCTTGTAAGAGGAATGCAGCAAGAGCCACCTTCGCGGACATACGAGAAGTAGAAAACCTCTGGAAAGACGGAGCAGAGGTACCCAAAGGAGCCCAGAACCGAACCTGGGGAGGAGACGAACCCAAATCATACTCGTACAGGGATGAGGAGTAAGAAAAACCTCTCCACCTGCAACAATAAGCCTCACGAGGAAGGCAAAAGCACCCAAGTGGGGTCAAAAGGGGCCCAAGGCCCCCAGGTTGACTCATCCCCAGCCCCAGGATCCTCCACATCGGGACCCAGGGCAGAGCCGTCCTCCAAACCCTCTACCCCTGAAGAAAAGGCAGAGTCCAGGGGAAAGGCAGACAAGAAGAGGGTCTTCTGGTGGGACCCAGAAGCCTCGGCAGGAGGAACCGGCTCAAATGCCTCCTTCCCCGACCCTGATGGGGCAGCCCCCGAGGCAGCCCAAATCTCATTACCAACTAAACCCTGTGCCGATGCCAAAACCCTCAGACGTTTTGAAGCCAGACACAGGGGGGGGAGGTGCAGGAAGAACCACAGGGGAAGGACCAGGGAGCGCGGAAGGAGCCAAAGCCGAAGCGACTAACGCCCCCAGGTCAGGGTTCCTAAAACCAAAACGGGGCAGCCTCGGGGCATCTGGGTGGGAAACCAACCTAGCGCGTTGCAGTAACCTAAACCTAACATGCAATGCTGATGCTGCCTGTACCCTAACAGGAACATCCTCAGTAAAACTGAGCACAAGCAGCGATCATGACTTGCAAGACTCCGGGTCAAAGGTGTCGTTGACCCAACAGGCAGCATGATGGAGGCAAAACAGGTGACTGTCACCCTGAGACAAGGGCACACTGCAACCTTCAAACCCACACAAGAAAGGCTGGAACTCGGGAGACGCATCCATGGGTCCACCGAGCCTGGGTGTCCAGGGCCCGTAGGGTAACAACTACGGGAAGGCTGGGCAAGGTGTTGCCAAGTGGTTAAGAAACCCAAACAAAACAAGGGGTAGATGATAACACTGAAAACCCTTGGGATGTGTACAAGCGCGGGGGCCTAGCAGAGGGCCACCAAAACAATATCAGGGAAACTATAGACCAACGAGGCAGAACCTCCACCAGGCAAACAAAAACAAAACAAAAAAAAACCGCAAAAGTACAACGTCCCCAGAGGCAACAGGAACCGGTCGCCGCTTAGGTGGTAGGTCGTGCAACACCTTGACACCCTAACCAGCACAATACCACTCCCTACCCAAGGCCAAACAAGGGCCCCAAGGGCGAGGCAAATGCCGGGTAGGAAGAACCTCTACGGGAATGGTTCCTGAACGCCCCAGGGAAGATAACCCTGACAGGCAGGGGCAGTACTCACAGGGCGCCTAGGGAAGGAAGCCCCCTAAGTGCATGCAGCTCCGGCACTGATGAGGTACTCCTGGCCACCGCACACCGCACAAAGACAGCAGAGAACGCCGCACAAGGCAAACGCCGCCCAGGAATTTGAGGCCAGAGAAGCGTCTATCCCAGTTGATACTAGCTTACGAACTAAAGGCAGCCGGCATGGTGAGATCCAGGGGCCCCCCTCCCCCCGCCAGAGGAGGGGAGGGCTGCGCGGACGACCGGCACGGCAGTAAATTGTGATAATTGCTTGTTTGATTGTTTTCTTAGGATTGTAGGGCGTTTTCTACCTCTCTGTTCGGTTTTTGTTTTAGTTTCTTACCATGTGGGGTTTGTTTTGTTATGCCTACCTTTCTGGGTGCCTAACCCCGGTCGATGGCAGATAAGGAAAACCCCAACCACAATGGGGCTTTCCAGGGCCATTGCTCCCTGAAACCTCTCTGAAGGGGCCAGGTTCTGGCGCTGGTCCCTGGTAGGTCTGAACTCCATAGCTAAAGTCCCAGTCAAACATAACATACATTAGCCCGATAAGCTCCAGCGAGCCTTTGGGGCTCCCCACAGAAAACCACTATATTCTGAGTTTTATCATCCAAACATGTACACGTAAACTTGTGTAACATACCACTTAATCACTAAAATCTGTGAAAATCATTTTGAGGCAATGGAGTGACTCGAACCCATGATCTGGTGAATTCCAGACAGCTGCCCAAACCTACTTCAAAATTATTTTAATTGATATATCACGCCAGCGTGCTTTCTTTGTGAATTAAAATCTGTTATATAATACAGTAACCCATTGTATGTTCTTGTATGGAACATGCAAGGAATAAATACAAATAATTGCAGATCAAATATACTGTATTACAGTACAGGTACTGTACCTGATAATGCTAATAGGTTCGACGTCGACCCACTGTAGAGTAGTGGAATTGACATGTCCCTGTGGAAGTGCTTGACCCTGTTGTATCTGAAGATGGATCACTCTTTTGAACTTGATGAACTGAACACCTGTCACTACCTGGAATTAACAATATCAATAAATTTATCCTGATAAGTAGTAGACCTAAAATTACCATTGTTATGAAAGTGTGAACAAATACTATTAAGTTTATACTGTGTATACCTTATCCCAAAAGCTAATTTGTGTGTGTTTATCCTGAAGCTCTTTTTTTTCTAATCTCTAAAATACTAGTAATGAATATACTGTACCTCTGAATTAAACCACATATTTTTTGTGTCATTGGGCTACATCACTGAATTTAATATCATTAATAATTACCAATTTTATCCTTTAAATATTTAATAGTTGCTTAATCATTATTATGGTAGACCTAAAGTCAAGTGAAGTACACAATGAATTTCAGTATACAGCCCTCAATGTGCATGAGGAACACATTCTTGAAGGACCTCGTGCAGAGCACATTGTGTGCATGGCATTTTTTACTTTTAATTAGAAAATGGGATATGTTCTTGATATCTCCAAAGGTTTCCCTTTACCCACTCTCAAAAAAGTATGAAAATATTATTATTGAAAACTTACAACAGCCAATTTTCTGTCCCCTAACATATATATCCAGCACTATTTTCTTCTCATTAACATAACTTTCACTATTATGTCATACAGTAACTCTTAGTTTATGCGATAGGCCAACCCGTTCTCGCACTTGCTTACGGTCAATATTGGCTTATTTAATAAGTGTATATGTGACATACTAATTGATTGAATATTTTAGTTTACCTTGAAAAGCTTGATAGAAAACACCGACCTCGCCTAACCTTCTTAGTATGTTAAGATAAGCATCTTATTGCTTCTTAATTACTACAACCTATTAACGGTATAGGTTAAGTAATAATTGTAATTAAGAAGCAATAAGATGCTTATCTTAACAAACTAAGAAGGCTAGGCGAGGTCGGTGTTTTCTATGAAGCTTTTCAAGGTAAACTAAAATATTCAATCAATTAGTATGTCACATATGCACTTATTAAATAAGCCAATATTGACTATAAGCAAGTGCGAGAACGGGTTGGATAGGCATAAGTACAGTACTATGTATACTTTGTGACAGCAACATAGTACCACATTGCATTTGTTCATACAAATGCAGTTCTTAACTAATTTTGTAACTATATGCTCCAACCCATCACCTGTTTATTATATAATCAGTCACATACTAGGTAATCTGAAAAAAATCTCACCATATTAACAATTATTATATGACCTCATTTAAACATTTCCCTTAAACTCATATTTTCAAGGTTTACCCCAATTAATTTACTGTATCAAATTCATTTCACTATTTAAATTGGCAAATTACTTACCATATTGTTCCCAGTATCACTAAGGGCTGGAACCAAGCTGATGTAACGATCAGAAGTGGGAGAATTGCCATCATCACAAAGACAAAGACAATAAGAACAGTGGAAGAAAAATCTCCACCATGAATCTACTTTCATTTCAGAGCCTTCGCATGGTTGATTAGGCCCCAGTCTTAGCTGACTTTCATAACGTATAGAATCATAGCGTCGATAAGGATTCTTTGATATGCAGACCCATGCATCTGCATTGTAAAACTGGCAGTCGTGCACGGTACCCATGCACCGACGATGTTTTCCGCAGTACTGAGAGGCTGGCAAATAGCACCTTTCACTCTTCGCATGCTGATAGTATCCACAGTTTTGTGAACAAGATCCCACAGAATTCATATCTACTTCATTCTCAATATAGCCCTGGAAAACAAAGTTATTTAAATTGATAAACATTATATGTTTAAAATAAATAATATTGTATTTATCAATTATATTAGTACATGAAAAAATCAGTAGAAGCCATGATAATGATGATGATTCGAACTTGCACAAATGGGGCTCTTGAGCACACACTAAACCCCTCAGCCATGACATACTCAAAAGCAATGCTTCATGAGATTCAACTAAAAATCCTTGTAGGTTCGAACCCTCATCATTGCTTCTACTAGTTTTCTCAATGATACATCACATTAATGTGATTTCTTTGTGCATTTGAAGTAAAGCGTTGCAGGTAGAACTCCTATACCATAGACAGAGTGCACGCAGGCAATGCATGAAACCTTGATTGGGCTTCAGTGGAAGCCTCAGGACCCTAGACGATTCATTTGTATCACAGGTTTTGAGAATGTTGTGGCCGAGTGGTTTAGGGCATATTCTTGAGCGCTTTTCAGTTATTCCTGAGTTCTATTAAGAACTCGGGATAATATGAACATATTTCAGTGCAGTCAATTCACAACAGAGAGATCCCGACTTCGATCTGTGTCACAATTTAGAAACATTGGGAACGTTGCCTTTCACATGATGCCTATGTTTGCCTTGCACTATGCAGGTCCCTGGAAGTTCAGTTAGTAAGGTTGGGCTAATAAGAACTTGATTAAGCCTAATATGCTACCTGTCCCTGAAAATGGGATGCTAAATTATAATTATTATTTTTAATACTCTGGTTGATAAATCCAAGTGCACCTAAATTATGCAGTTTAGTTGTGGTCACCTGTTGGAATGGTATGCTGCTAGAAATGAATAAGAAACCTTGCTTTTGAAGAGATATTATGAAAGTATAACACTATTTTTCCAGTGATGCTAAAATCGATCATCTGATCTTGGAATTTTTTTTCTGTTATGTTTTGAAGCACAGCGTGGGCATAGCTTATCAGGGGGAAAATCAAAGTACTGTACAGTATCATGACAAACTAGAGATCACCTCGGCCAACAATCCCATTAGTCAAAATTATAATTGTTCTGATTCTGTGTATTTTCTCTTTGCAAAAATACTAAAAGAAAAGGATGAGAGTTATGTTTATTTTCTTTTTACAGCTGTATAGACTGATCATGTGTACCGATTTCCAAAATGTTCATTTCTGGGGGGAGTCCGTATGGCTTCCTGGAGCTTACTAGGCTGATATGCTAATGTCAGACTTTGGCATCAGTCATGTGTATGGTGTTCTAATGGGCCTACCGGGGACCACGAGCCAGAACCTGGCCCCCCTCTAGAGAGGCAAGGGGAGCAATGGCCCCGTGTAATTGGAGGCATTCTATGTCTGCCATCGACCGGGTTAAGAACCCAGAAAGGTAGGCGTCCCAAAACAAACCCCTATTCTGGTGAAAATTGTAACCAAAAGCTGAACGAGTGGATGGAACTCCCCAAATAAAAACGAGCAAACTAGTATAACGTCACCCGTCGTCGCGCCACTGTCTGCGCAGCCCCCTCCCCTCCCCAGGAGGGGGAAGGAGTAGCTCCAGACCTACAAAGCCGGCGATCCTCACCTCAGTTCTTGAGGCTGATGCTATCGGCTAGGTTGTGTGCTCTGGCTCCAGTATTTTTGCAGCGCTGTGCCTTGTGTGTGGCTGCTGTACTCCAGGGGTGCGAGAGCCAGGAGTTATTCCTCAGTACTCAGGCTGCATGCGCCTAGGGTTCCCATCCCTAGGTGCCTTGTAAGTATTGCCCTTGGGGTTACATTCCACAAGTTCCTCGGGGTCTGCCTCTGTGTGTCCGTTATACTGCTCGGTTTCTCAGCCGCCCTTTGGGTACTTGGGAGTTTTGTCTCCCTAGTTTACCTTAGGGTAAGAGGCAGTTTTCGCACTGGTAAGGGGCGCAGGGTACTATGCAGCTAGTTGTCAGCTATCACAACGGCCAGCTCTGTGCCTTGGGGTACGTTGTCCTCTTGCGGGGTTTTTTCTTCCTTTTGTTTTTGCATGGGTGCGGGGTTCTGCCCTATTTGCCATTGGTGTTTGGCCTCACCCTGATACTTGGTGGTGCCCCCTGCTTGGTCCCCGTGAGTGTACATGTCCCTGGGGTTCAGCTTTAGACAGTTTGTTTGGTAGTTTTGGGCGCCAGTTAGAAGTACCCTGCTTGGGTTTACCTGAGCACGAGTCCTCTTCAAGTAAACTCTCAGGACCCTGGGAATCCCCTAGGAGGCGCGTGGGTTCGATGGATGTGACCCTGGGGTCCCCCCTTGCTTCGTGCGAGTTTGAGGGTTGTTTGGTCCCCATGCTTCAGGGCGACCCTCACTGTTTTTGCCTCCGTCATGCAGCCTGTTGGGTCGGTGAAACTTTCGACCCTGAGTCCTGTGAGTATTGTTACTTGCTGGTGACTCAATTTACCCAATCTGTGGATGATCTTCTTCGGGTACAGGCTGCACAGGCGTTGCATTCTAGGTTTCAGTTGTTGCAACACGCTAGGTTAGTAGCTCTCCCGGATGCCCTGCAGCTGCTCCGTTTTGCTTATAGCGACCTGGACTTGGGGGTGGGGGTCGCTTCGACCTTGGTTCAGTCCGCACCTCCTGGTCCTTCCCCTCCTGTTGTTCATTCTGGTCCCCCCTCCTCCGCTTCTGGCCCCGAAACATCTGAGGGTTTCGGAGTCGGGGCAGGGGTTAGTTGGTCTTGAGACTCGGGCAGCCTCGGGGATGCCCCTTCCAGTGTGGCGACAGAGGCATTCGAGTCTCCTCCCCCAGCCAAAGCCTCTGGGTCTGACCAGCGGGTCTCATTCTATTCGGCTTCTACGGCTGTGCCGGCCTTGTCTAGTGGGGTCGGTGCTTGGGGGGGGGAGGACTTGGCTCCGGGTCCTATGGAAGAGGACCCCTGGGCCTGGGAAGGGGCTGACCTGGGGGCCTTGGGCCCTGCTACACCCCACCTGAGTTTTTTTACCCTCTGAGCGGGGCTTACTGTTACAAGGAGTGTTGTTTTCTTTTATCCCCCCACCGTGTACAAGTTGGATTTGGTGTCCGCCCCTCCCCTGGTTCGGTTCCGTGTTACCCCAGGCGCTTCGGTTCCGTCTTTCCAGAGGTTTTTGGCTTATCGCATCCAACCTGCTGCGGGTGCGGGTGGCCCTTACGGCAAACCTCCTGCATGACCCGGTTTATGCCTCGGCAATGGATCCCTCGGCTTTCAAGTTTGGGACTTCGTTCCCTTTGTTCCGGAGTCCGTTCCGTTACGAGGTTCCGGAGTCGTCCTGGCTGGCAGACTGTCCTGTCTTGGCTTTGGAGGTTTGGCACTCCTTCTGCCGTTCCCGCATGCTTGAGTGGTGGGAGGCTTCGACGGTGCTTCAGGTTTCCCTGGGGGGGCAACCTTGAGCACCTCAGCGAGTGCTTGTTTACTCCTGCCCTTTCCCGGGATGTTAGTGTCGTTCAGCTCCATGTTTAGGTTCCCTCCCTTTCGGCGGCGCAGGTGGCGGAGTACTTGCGCGCTCGGGGCCTTTTGGTTGCGGCCTTGTGCTTCTTTTCCCTCCTGGAGCTGTCTTCTGACTGGCTCACGGAGGATGTGGGGGCACTTGGTGCTGGTCCTGGGTCTGGCACCTTGGCCTCAACGGCTCGCTCGTCAGCTGCCTTGCTGAAGCTTTTCGCGCTGATCTTGCGGGATGTGGTGGCTCTGTTTTATGCCTCCTGGCTCGCATGTCAGCAGACGGTGCTTGCCTCCTCTGTGGAATCCACTTGGGCCTAGGCTCTTAGGATATCTTCCCCTCTTTGCCCTCTCTTGTTTGAGACTTCAGCCGTTGCACAGTGTATTCAGGCTGCTTCGGTTTCTTGCCGTCCTATGTCAGACTTGCTAGTTCTCCAGGGGTCCCATGGTGGGCCTTCCCGGAAGGGTCGGGCCAAGGCTCGGGGTTCCTCTCGTCGTAGTAGGCCACTGGTGTCAGGTTCGGGTTCAGCTCCTCCTTCGGACCCGCCTTCATCTGGTCGGAACGGTGTTCGCTCTGTGCGAGGTTCTGGGTCTCGTAGGGGTGCTGGCCCTTTCGCAGTTCGCCCCATTAACGGGGGGAGGCTTGCGCTGTTCACTCATGCCTGGTCCCACAATTTGTGGGCGTTTCGGGTCATTTTGCACGGCCTCTGGTGGCGTTGGGTGGTCCCTTTCCCTGTGGGGGGTTCAGGGCTGGCTTCTTCCTCTGCACTGTCATTTCTTCTTGGAGTGGGTTCGCTTGGGCGTGGTCGAAACGACGACGTCCCTCAGGTGGGTTTCCCGTCTGTTTCCAGTCCCGAAACGGGACTGCGCGGACCTGTGGTTAATTCTGGACTTGTCCTTTCTGAACCCCTGGGTTCATTGCCCCTCCTTTTGGATAACCACGCTGTCCCAGGTTCGACTCCTGTTGGAGCCGGGTGCTTGGATGGTGTCCCTGGAACTCCGTGACACTTATTGGCACGTCCTGATTCATCCGGGATTCAGGGACTAGCTAGGGTTTGTTGTGGGGCTTTGTGCTTACCGCTTTCATTGTCTTCTGTTCGGTTTCAACCTGGCACTTCGCGTTTTCACACACCTCACGTGGGTCATGGTGACCCTTCTGCATCTGTTAGGTGTTCGGGTGTTGGCCTACCTCGATGACTGGCTGGTTTGGGCTCCCAGCCAGTCAACTTGTTTGCTAGCCAGGCATCTGGTTCCTTCTCAGCTCACCGGGTTTGGGTTCTTGGTGACCTGGAGGAAGTCCCATCTGGTTCCCTCCTGGTCCCATCTGGTGTGGTTTGCTCTTTGGAGGATTCGAGTCGCCCACTGGTTAACGATCCGGCTCCATTTGGACTGCTCCCCAGTGGTTCATTGTCTGAACCGGGGGGTTCGATGCAGTCCTTGGCTCTTTGGCGCTGGTCGCTTCGGGTGACTCGTTTGCTGAGTTTTCGGGGTTTGGCTCTCCTGGCAGTTCACATGTGGGGAGTGTCCAACGTCTTGGCCAACGGCCTGTCTCGTTTTGTTCCCCTCTCCATGGAATGGACAGTCGA